TCATCAGCGTCACCAGCATCGCTACAACCATCAGCGTGCCGTTGCTGAAGTCGCTATGATACCGCGCCCGCCCGAGCCACCGACGCGCACTGAAGTGTTCGCGCGTCAGCGCGGCCTGCGAGAAGCGGTGGGGAGTCCCCAGCGGTCGGCGCCACCGTGGCCGCGTCGGTCGCACCAGACTAGCTGGCGGCCCCGCCGAATCGACGAAATGTAACGCCGCAGTGGGACATCAAATCGCATGATCTGTTGGATTTTTGGCGCGGCTCTGGGTCAGGCGGGAGGGTCGCCGCTGTCCCTGCCAGCCCTCCCCCGATTTTCGACCCGAGCAGCGTCGTCTTCCACTTCGCGGGCCAGGCCGAGGGGCGCGCGCTCGAGAGGAGGCCCCGGGTGGCGCTCAGCATCGATGACGCCCCCGCCCTGGAGTTCGACGAGCGCCCCGCCGAAGCCTGCTCCACGTCTCGAGCGAGAACGCCAGCGGAAGCATCAACTTTCGGAGCTCCGCGAGGAGTTCTGGGCTCGGCGCTGGGACCCCTGGCGCCTCCGGCGCCGCCCCCGGCGCGCCTGGGATGGGGACCCAGCGCTGGACCACGAACTCCGCGCGGGGCTCCGACACCGCTTGTGTGTGTGGTGCCTGTCTTTCTTGCTCGCGCATCGCAGATCTCGAGGGCTCTGGCCCGATTCGGCGTCAAGGCGACGTGGTTCGTCATCCCGAAGGGGGGAAGCACGGCATAGACCTGCCTCTCCGGAGCTCTGCGCGGATGCCTCGGATTGGCGCCGGCACCCCCCTCCTGGCCCACGGGGGCGGCGCCGCGGGCCGCCGCCAGGGGGCGGCTGGCGCCGAGGCAAGACATGCCCGCGCGGGCCCCCTTGGCAGCTCCTTTAGAGGCAGCGTTTCCCAGGCTCGTGGGCAGCGCCGGGGCAGCGCCCAGGCAGCGCCCTACAGCGCTGCCCAGGCTCGAGGGCAGCGCCGGGGCAGCGCCCAGGCAGCGCCCTATAGCGCTGCCCAGGCTCGAGGGCAGCGCGCATATGGGAGACCTTTGCCCCGGGCCCTGGGGCAGCGCCGAGGCAGTTTCTGGGCGTCGCTGCCCGGGCTCGCGCGCAGCGCCCGGGCAGCTCCCATGGGCAGCGCTGCCCGGGCTCGCGCGCAGCTCCGAGGCAGCTCCCGGGAAGCGCCCCTGCGCTGCTGCTGCCCTGGGCTCCCGCGCGCACGGGCTCCGAAGGTGTGTTCCTCCTTTTTCCATGGCTGGACGATGGATGCCTCGTCGGTAGCTCAGGAAGTCTCAACCGCTTGCGCTTCGTAATTACACGGTTTCCATTTCCGTGCGAAGCCCACCAAGATTTGCATGGGATGTTGCAGAAGAAAACATCAAAAACAACACAACACACGGGCTCCGGAAGTGTTCTGTCTATGGCGGCTTGTCTTGTTCGACGGTCGGCTCGCACGCTCGCGGCGACCGCGTGGAGCTGTTGCGCGCCTTGGTGAGGGACGGGCACGAGCTTGGCAACCACGGCATGCACGACAGGCCCGCGTGGAGGCTCGGCCGGGACGAGTTCGCGAGGGACGTCGAGGAGACTCCGTAGCAACTCGTGGGAGCGTGGTTACCCAGACCCCCTCGCGTTGTGACAGAAAAGATCTCGACGGGAGGTTCTTCGCTAAATTCGGCATCTGGGGGCCCTTGCCGGGCCTCGGGACCGCGTCAGAGAACGACTCGGGATGAAAACTTGGCCCTGGGGAGTGGATCGACAACTCTGGGGGTCGACGTTCTGAATGATGTGCCTGTTTTCCACCACCACCATAAACTGGAGAGGGCAAGGAGGAGGAAGAGGAGGAGGAGGAGGAGGATGAACAGGAGGAGGAGGAGGAGGAGGAGGAGGAGGATGCCCTCCCCCTCCAACTTGTGGTGGTGGTGGTGGAAAGCAGGCCCATCAATGAACATATCAGACGTAGGGGTTCAGGGTCATAGGAGCCCGGTCTGTTCTCGCAGTTCTTTGGTATGCACTGGCCAGTGCTAGCTCTTAGTAATCCATGCGGGAGCCCTGGTTTAGCGTTGGCTGGCGTCGATGTGGCGTCAATGAGCTTCGATCTGGCGTCGCTCAGCGTCCACTGGCGCCGATCGGCGTCGGTCCGCAAGAGCCAGGAAGATTCAGGAGGGGAAAAAACACACAGACACAATTATTCGTCGATCCCTAGGAAAATATGGGAAAATATGGGAAGTGGTGGGGAAGACAAAAACCTAGAAAATATAAGAAAATATGGGGAATATTTTTATTTGTGTGTATTTATTTGTGTGTCCCAGTTTCCCTTTAAAGATGGCATGGGAGGCTCCCACGAGTTGCCACAGCAGAGGAGACGCAGAAGATCCTCGAGGAGTCGAACAAGAAAAATAGCAGCATGTCCAGTTAAGCTCTCGGAGCTCCGCGCGGGTTTTTCGCGGATCGTAGGGGGCCCCCCCTGGCGGCGCCTCTGGCGCCGTCCCTGGCACGCTCTCCGCGTGACAGGGGCCCAGCGCCGATCCAAGAAATCCGCGCGGAGTTCCGAACGCTTCTGCTTACCCAGCCACGCGCAGAGGGGATGAATTAGGGGGAGGGGGGAAGGCTTCCCAGAGGCACCCCTTGCCTCTTGGAAGGCGCGGGCCTCGTCTGCAGATGTAGGGCCGGTGCCTTCTGAGAAGCAGCCTTTTCCTAAGAAGCCTTCCCCCTCGCCCTACCCCTCTCTGCGCGCCGCCAATGCTGTTTTTTCCTGTCCTTGAGGGGTGCGGCGGGGGCCACAGGCGCTGGTTCCGGCCTGGGCAGGCCCTATTCACGCCCTGGAAGTTGGCGTGGCTGAGGAGCTAGGCCGATCGAAATGGGCACGGATCGGGGCTGAAGGGACATGGGGTCAGTGCAAACGGGGGCCAGTCAGAGCGCCAGATCCTGCAGGATCCTGCAGAGCCAGGGTCGCATTGACCCCAGCTTAGGGACAGGATCCTGCATGATCTTGCAGGATCCTGCAAGGCCTGACTGACCAGGCTTGGGTTGACCCAGGTCAGTGGAGCCCCGAACGGAAAGATTGGGCGCAATGACCGACGACATGTCTTGTTCATTTCGAACAGGGCTCTCTGTCGGTGTCGCCACGGACGTTGTCCATCTGAAACAGAAGGCCGCCTGCTCATCAGCGGCCGCTGCCGCTTTCGGACAACACGTGTTGTTGGGCATCGTGCCCCTTTCTTCCGTAACCATTTCGCACGTCCAAAGAGGAAGAGGGGATACCGACTGGCACTGGGCAGCATCTTCGTGGCGGCGCGCACGAGAGGGTGGGTCGAAGGGGGGCGGTCTTTTCTACAGCCCCCCCGCCGTGTCAGAAGCCCTCCGAAGCGACTTTTGCTTGATGTGGGGCCTCCTGGCATGTGATCCGGAGCCTCCCGGAGTGCCGCAGGGAGTGAGGACAGAAAGTGGAAGGAGGAGGGGGAGGAAGCACAGGAGAGGAGATGACAGGAGGAGGAGGAGGAGGAGGAGGAGGAGGACGCGAAGGGAGAAGGGTTGAAGTTAACTTGGTCATGTGCCAGCGAAACGAATATGCGGCAGCATAGTTGCTTGCTTGCGCGCGGCGCCTGGGACACTCTCTGGCCGGTGCCGGGAGTCAGGAGCGCCGTCGTAGAATCGGGGAAGCGTAAGACTAGAGTTTGTCGGAACTCGGCTTCGCAGTCGCTTTTTGACGGGCCCGTCCTGAACACGGTCCAGATTTCGTGGGACGTTTGCAGCGGGAGCGCGCGTCAGATTCAAGACGGGGCTCCGTCATCTTCCCGACGGCCCCCTGACAGGCCAACCCGCGTCACACGCGCCCGAGCCGTACGTCTCCCCAACAGAGCCGCGCATTGTCTTTGGGCGGAGGGCAAAGGGTGAACTCTGAAGTGCCGGTTCGATTGCTCTTCTAGGTTGGGGTCTGCCAAAGGTGAATCCCAAGACGGATTGACTTTCGAGGTGCAGAAGCCCATGTGGATCTCACCCCGAGCCCTCCATTGTAAGATCGGCGGCACCCCAACATGCTTATACTATGTATGTGCGTCGCCCCGCCAGGGGCGATGCGCGCACCGAGAACTCCTACAGCATGTGCGCCGTGGCGGACGCGTTCTGGCCACACCGCTCGGGAAACGGTATAGTATACCACAAGATGGGCATAATGTTGTATGCTCGGGTCGGACGCGCGCCTCCAAGGAGAACACGGAGCATCAGCATGCCTCTGTGCGCCCCGTAAGAGAGTGCTCCGCAGAAGCCCCCCCCCCGACGCGCCTCCACCCGCGCCTCCACCCCGACGTGCCCCGTGCTCCGGCCGCCGCCCCTTTCGGAGCCCCGACCGCTCCCCCGAGGGCCGCCTCCGCCCCGGGGGCCCTGCTTTGACGGGGGCCCTGGGACACACACACACACACACACACACACACATTCACACACACACACATTCACACACATTCACACACACACATTCACACACATTCACACACATTCACACACATTCACACACACACACATTCACACACACATTCACACACACACACACACACACACATTCACACACACACACATTCACACACACACACAAAGATTCACCATCTCTTTCCAACATCTTCTGGGCTCTTGTCTTCCCCCCCCACACTTCCCACGCTTTCCCACCTCCTCCTCGGGATCGACGATTACCATTGTGTCTGTCTGTGTGTGCGTTCCCCTCCCGATGCGTGGCGGCCCCCGGGGGCCCGTCACCGGCCCCAGTGCTCGTGGGCGTCGCGTGCTGCGGGGGGGCGGGGGCGATCCCCGGGGCGGCGCCCGAGGGCTGCAGGAAGGGGGCCCCGTCGGACCCCCCTCTCGAGGAGGGCCCCCTTGCGGGCCCCAAAGGGGGCCCTTGCTCAACAGGGTGAAGTCGGGCGTGCCCCTCGAAAGGAGGAGTATTAAGAAACATTTCTAACACATCGTCAGCGGACGATCTTTTTAGCATGTTTCCATTCTTTATGGAATTTGTTGTCAGTATTTTGAGTTGTTGGGGCATTGCTTGATTATTATGTGGACTATCTTTGATTTGTCATCAAAGATCCGCCTGCAGGAGGACATGCTCGACCTAATGCAAGGCCTGCTCCTCCCCCGCCTGAGCCGCCCCCCCTGGCGAGGTGGCGGTCGACCACAGAGCGCATTTGACCCCATCTTTCAGCATGCTCGTCGGACCTGCGAAGGGCACGTCGGGCTTTCGCAGGTCTACGAACGCACGGTCGACCACAGCGCAGTCGACCCCGATTGCTAACATGCTCGTCGGGCCTGCGAAGGAGACGTCGGGTTGTCGTAGGTCTACCCAACGGTCTACACATGCTGTGCAGGCGCGACGAACGTTTCAGGTTTGGGGGAAGCCAGTTCTGTCGCCAACCTCTCGCTCGACCCCTGCGCGCGCCGCCGGCCCCTCCCGCACGACGCCGTGGATCTGCCCCCGCTGCAGTGCTCCTCCCCGCGGCTCATCGCCTGGCTCCTGGTCCGCAAGGCGCAGGCCGGCGACGTCATCATCGTGCACGATCGGCCCTGGACCGTCGCTGCGGCCCTCAGACCCAGACCCCCTCGGGTCATGAAAAAATCATGACTCTGGACGCCCGAAATGGGCACGGAAAGAATGGGTACGATGCCCAACAGCAGTTCCTGTTCATTTTGGACAGGACCCGCTGTCCGCGCCGCCGCGGCCTGTGTCCATTCGAGACAGGAGGCCGCCTGCGCAACAGCGGCCGCTGTTGGTTTGGGACAACATTTGTTGTTGGGCATTGTACCCATTCTTTCCGTACCCATTTCGGGCGTCCAAAATGACGGGGAGCTCTTCGCTATTTTCGGCCTCTGGGGGCCCTCACCGGCCTCCGGGACCGTCAAGAGAGGACTATCAGGATGGAACACTGGACCCGGGGAGGGGGTCGAGACCTCTGGGGGTCGACCTTCAGAAACATTATGACGGGGTGGGGGATCTAGGCGACGCATTTTTGTTCACTGTGGGTTTTTGTTCCCCCTGGTTTCGGGCACAGGGGCTCGGCTCTAAGAATCTCGCAGAAAGAGGGGGTCCAGGGTTCCAGTGGCGATTTCTGGTGATCTTTCATGCGTCTGGCCACGTCGAATCCCAGGGGAAGCCAACGGATGCTGAGGGAGGCTGGGCTTTTCGCCGTTTTCGGCCTCCCCGGGCCTTCCCTTGGGCCCCAGGATTGTCATACAAGGAGGCAGGGTGAAGAAGGAGAAGGCCCAGGGTAAGGCCCCAGGTTCCAAGACCCGTTTCCCTCAGGGCCCAATTGAGCAGCGCAAGACAATGGGCTCGACTGCGCAGCCATTCGCGTGTAAGCTGCCCGCGGAAGGTCACGCGCAGGCGCCCGAGTTTCCAGCGTAGCGTCCCGCGCTGGCGGCCCGCGTAAGCCACCGCGCAAGGTCGCTGTGTCATCTCGCGGAAGGCCCGTTTCGTTCCGCTCGTCCACGTTGGAGCCTTCTAGGGGTCCGAGGTGGTCCAGCATTGGCCCCCGCCAGAGCAGAAAGGATCGGGCGAGGTTCGAGGTTCTGGCTTCGCTTCGGTTCCTGCTGCCTTCCTTGGCCTCCCTGCTCGGGCCCTGGGACCGGCGCTCCGAGCCAAAGCGCTCACCAGGAGCGGTCTGGGGGGACAGAGCTTGAGAGCGGTGTTCTCTTGGCCTCGGCATCGCTCCACCGCTCCCCACCCCCTATCCCCTTCGAGACCCCCACCACATTGCCGCCCCAGTCGGGGGCGCACGCCTCGAAGCTCGAAGGGGGACGGCCCGCATCCCCATCCAGGGGGGACACGTCGGCCGGCGGGGCCCCGGCCACGCCGCTGGGCATGGGGCTCGGAGGAGCCCGGCCCTCTGCGGCCCGATCCACCTCGGGGCCTCGAGCCCCCCGGCCCTCCTTCCGAGACCCGCGCGCGCGGCCTGCCGAGGACCGCGGCGGCCCTGGCCCTGGCGCTGCCCGCCCTCACGAGCCGCTTCACGCTCTGCTGGGGGGCCGCATGCGAGCCCTACCCCTACCCCCTACGGTTTTTGCTACGGTTTTTGAGGGGGAGGGTGGGGTTCACTTCGCTCGGGAGCTCCCGAACGGAGTGAACCCCACCCTCCCCCTCAGAGATCGTGGGGGGTTAGGGGTAGGGTTCGCATGCGACCCCCTGTCTGCACCCTGTCCGAGCTCTCCGACGCGTGCCGGGGGCGCGCGGGCCGCTACCTCGACCTGTCGCCCCCCGAGTCGCCCGGGCGACCACCCTCGGAGGGCACCAGCTGTCATCAGGTCGGGCCTGGCCCTCTACAGAAGGACCATTCAAACATAATAGTCAAGTAATAGTTGTGATTCTGTTTGTAGCATTTTTCGGCCATCTTGGGGTATGTCAGAAAAACAAAGATTGGGGGTACGGTTTGACTTTCTTGTTTATTTTGTTGTCCAAAATTTCCCTGTAGGAGGACAGGCCCGACTTACAACTATCAGGCGATCGCAAACATGGATCAAAGGGGGCGTTGATTAGCGACGGGTCCCGTTGCCGTGTGAAATCGCGGATATCCGCCGCCGAAGGAGGCGGCACCGGCTGCATTATGGGGAGGGCTCCTCCCCCGATCCATGGATGTGGCGACCGCGCGCCAAATCCATGGATCGCTAATCCATGTTTGCGCGCCCCCGAAACTACACACTGGCATCGATCCTGCCAGGTTCACTCTTGGGCGCAAGGTCGCCTTCTCTGTGAGGTCTGGGGGGGGGGAAGCCAGCATCGGCGCCGGTATAGCCGTCGTTGAAGCTTAGCTTATGAGTATAGACATGATCCCGCCTAGTTCCGCTTACCGCTGAATCCCGCTCAGTCCAGCTTCATCCAGCTTGACTAATCCAGAGCGCAGTCCGACCAGATCTGGCCTTGATGGCCCCCAAACTCCAGTGTCAGAGCCTTCTGAGTCGTTCTCGCGAAGACCCCCCTCGACTTGCTTCCTGACGTGCCCCTCCCTGTCCGGGCTGGGATGGCCTATGCGCCGATATATTGGGCCCAACGGCGAGCCTAAGGATGCTGGTGTATAGCCCACGAGATCCGACGACGCGCGAAAATTACAACATCGGGAGAAATCACGACCGGGGCCCCAGACATGCCCTCCTCCTCCTCCTCCTCCTCCTCCTCCTCGATCCTCCTCGCTCCTCCCTCCTCCCTCCTCCCCAGACATAGGCTTTCGTCACCATTTTGCGAGCCGCATCGATCTATGAGGGCCGCGGAGCCCAGGGGCCCGAAATTCCACGAAAGCGTCGGGTTCAACAAAAATGCGGCGCCAGGATCTCACGGGCCCGAGTCCCTCGACGTCATAATTTTTCATGACGTGGACCCCAGGCGGTCTGGACTCATTCCCTGGGACTGGTTTTTCCTCCCAAGTTGTTTTTGGAATGTCCCGCGGGCCGATGAAGGGCCTACAGGAACCGAGTATTATGAAAAACCTTTCGCCGTGACTTTTTCATGACCCGCGTGCGTGGGCAAGATTTATATCAATGTCCACTGCGTCTTGGACTGTCTGAGAAGGGGCGCCCAAATGAAGAGGTGCAGTGGATATGGAACAACATCTAGCTTCCAATGGCCAGATTTCTATCCATCTCCACTGCGCCTCTGCATGGCTCTTGGGGGACTAGGGAACGCGAATCCTTAGACGCACTGGATATATGGACACAAATCTTACCCGCAGCGGGGGTCGGGGCCGAGACCCCGACGTCGTATTTTTTGTCATAACGTCGACCCCCAGCGGTGGCGACCCCGTCTGAGTCGTTTGCTGACGGTCCCGAGGCCCGGCCGGTAAGGGCCGCCCGGTGCCGCAAACAGCGAATAGCCTCCCGGCGTAGTTTTTTTCACAACGCGAGGGTGTCCTGGGTACCACGCTCCCGACGTGTTGCTGGGAGAGGGCCCCCAGGGGCCGAACATTCAGAAAAGCCTCCCGTCGTGATTTCTCAATGATTTGTGGAGGACGATCAATGGAGAGGAAGCATGTTGCCAAATAATTTCCAGATGTCTCAAGAATGTGTCAAACATGTACGACGCATGATTGGAATATGTTAGAAAGCATGCTTCGAACATGTTTAGAACATTGCTCGAATAGTTTAAACACATGTTTCATTCAACGATGGGACTGTGAGGGTGCCCACTGCCGTGGCACCCACAGCTCCATGACCCGAGGGACTCTTCAGCTGGCGCCCTCCCACACCCCCCCCCGCCGGCGGCGGCACCGGCCGCACGGCGGCGCGGGCCGCGCCCGCGGCCCGGCTGCGCGGGGCAGCGCCGCCGGCGACGGCGGGGCTGCGCTGAGACGCCGCAGCCGACGAACGAACAGCACACACCCATACCCATAGGGGGGTCGTTGCGAGGAGGCCTGGCTACGGGTACGGGTGTGGGTTGTCTGGCCCTGGGGAACGCTCCCGCTCGAGCGGGGACCCCCCTCCGACAACGCGCACCCGTAGCCCTCTCCGACCCCCCTATGGGTACGGATGTGTGTGTGTGTGTTGTCGGCCCGTCATAGCAGCAGGGATCAAGCGAGGGTCGGCGGCGAGCGGGGGTGGACAGACCTCCCACCCTGGCACGCCGATCAGTGAAGGCGAGGTGACTTTTTCAGTGTGGGTGTTTTTCCAGTGCTGGACCTAAACGCGGTTTTGCTGGACTTCGGCTGTGTTTTGTTTTTTGTTCTGGCAGGGAGGTACAGGGTACAGAAAAAACAGGTCGAGCAGCACGAAACACAAAACGAAACCAACACGATAAACAGCGTTAGGTCCAGCCTTGGGTTTTTCGGTTTTCGGTTCTCGAGGGGGCGCCGCGGCCGTCACCATCCAGGCCTGCGCCCGCCAGGTTTGGGCCCGAGGTCGATTTCACCAGACCACGTTTTACGGGAGGTGGGCCTGTCCATCCCCGAGGCGAGCCGGGGGGTTGGGAGAGGAGGGTGGTGTTCGTCGCTTCGGCTTCGAGGTTTTCCGCCCTCGGGATGCGTTGCAGCGGCCCCAGACCCCCGACGTCATGATTTTGTCATTACGTCGACCCCCAGAGGTCCCGACCCTTTCCCCATGACCGGCTTTGCATCCTGAGTCGTTTTTTGACGCTCCCGAGGCCCGGTAAGGGCCCTCAGAGGCTGAAAATAGCGAAAAACCTCCCGTCGTGATTTTTTCACGACTCGAGGGGGTCTTGGGGTGGTGTTCGTCGCTTCGGCTTCGAGGTTTTCCGCCCTCTGGGATGCGCTGCAGCGGCTGCGCAGGGGGTGCCTGGATCGTCGCGGAGGGCCGCCGGCGAGCCGAGGCAGGACCCCCAATGACCGGACTCGGCGGCGCGCTCGGGGGGGGAGCGAGAAGGAGAAGGCCTTCTCAGAGGGCGGCGGGACTCCTCAGACAGCCTCTGGCCTTCGCAGAGGTTTGCGGCGTCGTCGGGGAAGGCCTCAGTTCCTCGATCGTGCTCGCCGCCGAGTCAGAGCCGGCCGTTGCTGCAGTTTTTTCACACGCGGGGCCTTTGTGCCTGGCTTCGGGCCCCTGGAGCCTCACATGCCGAGCCGGCTCGACAGACTGACGCACAAGGGTGGGTGAGTGGGGCGCTCAGGTGATGTCTTCTGCTGAGTCGCAATTGTTACCCTGTCCTGCTATTGCGGTCTTTTGCGACGTGGGTGATGCGGAGTCGAAAGGGATTCGGCACGTAATCGACGAGCTCGTTATGGATGCGACACGGATGACTGGCGCGATGGGTCAAACGAGGTCCCCCAAAGATGCAACCGAAGGGCGTGGTGGTGCGGTCGGGATTCCCAGCTAAAGGGGCCCGAACCGTGTAAATTTCCTCGCGCCCCCGGAGGAGGAGGAGAAAGAGGAGGAGAAGGATGATGAGGAGGAGGAGGAGGAGGAGGAGGAGGAGGAGGAGGAGGAGGAGGAGGAGGAGGAGGAGGAGGAGGAGCCCCCCCCCAGCTTTCGACCCCTCCCCCCCCCGTGAAGCAACGCCTATGAGGGCGGCCCGCGGCGGGAAGGCAGTCGAGAGAGGAAGGCGGGGGCACTGCGGCCTGGGTTCGATCGGGCCACTGCGATGGGCGGTGTCGGGTGCTCGTCTGGCTTGGCTCCTTCAGGTGTTGGACCGTGGGCCCCTTGAGAACCGCCCCCGTCCGGCTCTCGAGCCGGCAGCCGCCGAAGACCGGCGGAGACCGCCGGAAAGGGCCGAAGACCGTCCGAAGACCTGCCGAAGATTGCCGAAGACCGCCGGAAAGGCAGCCAGAGGACGGGCCGAGGACCGCGGAGGACCGACGGAGATGGCCGAAGACCGTCAGAAGCGGGCAGCCAGAGGACCGACGGAGGACCGGAGGGCAGCCAGAGGACCGCCGGAAAGGGCCGAAGACCGTCGAGAGACTTGCCGAGGACTTGCCGAAGACCGCCGACGAGGCAGCGAGAGGACCAGCCGAAGACCGCGGGCGACGGCCGGAGGCCGCCCAGGGGCCAGTGGGGCAACCAGGGTTGCGTCGGGCCCGTCCCACCAGACGAGGGAGATGCCCAGCTAGGCAAGGAATAGTCTGGCGACGATTTTTCGATTGTTTTCTTCTGATTCTTGACTTTTTTGAGTATCTCTAGTTTTCGTCCAAAATCCGCCTGTAGAGAGACATGCCCGACCTACACAACGGGTCCATCGTCGAGTGTGTACTCCAAGTCCCTTATTAATCGTCCCCCGGGTCCGGTTGTTTCAGACGCCTTCTTTGCAACTAGCGGGGTGCGGTTTATTAGGGCGCCTTCTTTGGATTGGAGCTTAGGGGGTACGGTTTCTCAAGGCGCCCCGTCGAAGACGAGGTCCGGAATATTAGGCCGCATTTGGAGGGAGGCCCGGTTCTTTTGGGGGGGGGATGGATTCAGAAGGGATCTGGAGTGAGCTTGTCTTCACCCTCTCGGCCTCCCCCCCCTCGCTTCCCGAGCCTCCCTCCTCTGCGCCCTCCCTGGTGTCCGCCCTCCTCCCTGGCGCCCTGGGGGGGTGGGGGGGGGGAGGGGCAGGCTGGGCGCGCCGCGGCGACGCGAGGGGGGTCCTTCCGACGGCCTGCTGGCCCCCCCGCCCCTTCTCCCCCCCCCCCCAGGCCGAGGCAGCAGGTTCAGATCCCCAGGGGCGTGGGCTTTTGCACCGTGGCCCCCCCCCCCCCCCACACACGTCGCTTTTCAACGGTGGTCCTTCTCCTCATGCTCCTCCTCCTCCTCCTCTTCTTCGGCGCTCGTCTTCTCCTCCTCTCCCTCCTCTGTCTCCTCTTCCTTCTCCTCCTCCTCCTCCTCCTCCTCCTCCTCCTCCTCTTCCCTCTTCCCTGTTCGCCCTCGGGGGAGGAGGTGGCGACGAGGGCCCAGACTTAAGTCGGGCATGTCCCTCTACAGGAGGAATGTTCAGAAATAGCGAACAAGTCAGCAGGGGAGGATGTTTACAGTTTTTGACAATTTGGGGGCATGTTTTGAATCATTTTGATTTTCCGTCCAGAATCCGCCTGTAGGAGGACATGCCCGACCTAAGCCAAGACGGCTGCCTCCCCCGACCTCCCGGGAGCCGAGAGGAGGCCGATGTTGCGCAGCGCCGCATCGCCGCTAGCCTCGGCCTGAGCCTGGACCACGAAGGACGCGGCGCGCGTCGCCGCCGACATGTCGCCGCATGTTGTCCTCGTCGTCGTCGTCGTCGTCGTCGTCGTCGTCGTCGTCGTCGTCGTCGTCGTCGTCGTCGTCGTCGTCATCGCCGTCGTCGTCGTCGTCGTCGTCGTCGTTCTCCCCCCTCCGCCCCCTCAGACCTCTTCGTGGATCTCCGACGAGCTGAAAAGCAACAATGCGTGTGTGTGTGTGTGTTTGTCGTTGGTGTGTGTGTGTGTGTGTGTGCGTGTGTGTGTGTGTGTGCGTGTGTGTGCGTGTGTGTGTGTGTGTGTGTGTGTGTGTGTGTGTGTGTATGTGTGTGTGTGTGTGCGTCGTTGCCGCGGGGGCCTCGCAGCCTCCCCCCCCATGAGGGCACTTCAAAGCAAACTGCTCGGGGCGAAGTGCTGGCCCCAGGAGAGGGGGTGGGGATTTGCGGGGACCCCGTGGTGACAAGGTCTCAGGAGGGAAGAAGCACACACGCAAAGAACCACCGACTCCCACGGGACGTGGGGAAATATGGGAAGTGGAGGGGAAGACGAGCATCCAGAACATATGCAGTCTTATTTTACATATATATATGTATACATATAAACGGATTCATGGGAGTTGTGTCTGTTGGTGTGAGTGTGTGTGTGCCCCAGGGCCCCTTTAAGGTCAACACATCGGATCTCTGGGTCCTTCCCCTCGCCCCCCAGCCCCTCCCCCTCCGCCCGCTGCTTCCTGCTCCGCCATCGCTCCTCACTCCTCCGCCTCCTCCGCCGCGCTCTCGCTAGGACGAGGGGAGGAGGATCAGGAGAGACAGAGAAGGAGAAGGAGGAGGACGAGGAGGGATGGAGGGGAGGAGGAGGGGGTGAGATGAGATGCGAGGAATTGAGACATGAGATGGGACGGAGCCCTGAAGGGGGTTTGTCAAGGCCTAGTCTAAGCCTCCCTCGGAGGCCTCGGAGAGAGCCGAGGCGTCAGACATATCGCCTTCCGCATGCTTTGCGCAGAGGCGCCTCCCCAGTGCTTCCACCGAGGGGAAGAAGAGGAGGGGGGAGGAAGGAGGGACAGAGGAAGAGGAGAAGGAGGAGAAGGAGGAGGGAGGAGGAGGATGGATGGATGGATGGAGGGAGGGAGGGAGGGAGGGAGGGAAAGGAAAGCGCGCGAGGATGGAGGAGGAGGAGGACGGAGGACGAAGGACGCAGGATGACGGCGATGAGGAGGATTGGGATGAGGATGACGGGGAGGGGAAGGAAGTAGGGACTAAGGACGTTGCCCTTCCATTGCAGTTTCAGAGGGACGCATGGGGATTTCTTCGCCTCCTCATCCTGCCTGCTCCTACTGCGCCTCCTCCTCCTCCTCCTCCTCCTCCTCCTCTCCTCCTCTTCCTCCTCCTCATCCTCCTTCTCATCCTCCTTCCTCATCGTCCGCTCTCCAGGAGGTACAGGATCTCTTTCCTCTGCCGCCCGACGGGCCGCACAACCTGGTGGGCGTAATTCTCATATCGTCGGTCATCGTATCTGCTCCCCTGCCAGGGGGGCAGGAAGACGAGGGGAGGAGGGGGGGAGGAGGGGAGAGGAGGGACGGGGATGAGGGACGAGGAGGAGGAGAGAGGGATAATAGGTCTGATGAGCGAAGAGGAGCAGGGAGGAAGAAGACCCGATCCTCACTGCTCCGTCGGCAGCCGCACTCCACTTTGTCTCGAACAGCTGGTTCAAAGTTAACCGGCGAATGCAAGCCGTGAGGCCAGCCTGCGCGAAGCGTGTGCGCAGCGGCCCATGTCGCAGTCCAGCAAGTCTGACCTCTTCTCCAAGCAGTCCGTGGAGTCCACGGGCAGCAGCACGGGCCATGAGGGCATCGACAACGCCATCGCCGGCCTGGAGAAGAGGATCCGCATCGTCTTACCTATCCTTAAGTCGGGCATGTCCCTCCACATGAGGCATATTCAAAAATAGCCAGAAAAATTCATGTGGACGATTTTGTCTTGTATTCCTGACTATTTGGGAATATTGCTTGATTATGTTTTATCCGTAAGGGCTTCGCCCCCTGCCGCCGGCCCCCTCACTAACAGAATGGGACATATCAGAGTCGCGTCGGTGCGTCTCTGCGCTGCCTTGGCGCATCTGGGAACATCACGCGGGGGCGGATACGTAGGAATCATCAGCGCTGATTGAGACGTAGGCGTTATCGAAGACGCCTACGGCGAATCACCGCCGCCGCCTGCCTTTTTGGAAGCGCCTGCGTGGCAGAAAGTTGGGTTTGAGCTTGGCCAAGCTATCGGGCCTCGTGTTCCCCGAGTAGGTTTCGAAAGCCTTCTGGGAACACGGAGTCGGGCGAGCTATCGGAAAATCAATGATTTTGGCCTTTTCGGGCCTTCCTGGTGGACCTCTTGGAGGCCTTTTGGGGCCCTCTTGGGCAGTCTTAGGCCATCTCGGAGCTATCTTGGGCTGTCTCGGAGGCTTCTTGGACGAACTTGCCAGCATCTTGGACTCTCTTGGGCCGTCTTGGAGGCCATCTTGGACCATCTTGGGCGAACTTGGAGGCCATCTTGGCCATCTTGGAGCCATCTGGAGCAGGAAAAACTTTTGCAACCGGATTTTGGGCAGTCTTTGGGCCCTTCCGAGACCCCGGCGGGACGGGCCGAAGCACCAGGGAGTTTTCTAAAAGAACCAAAGCCGAAAGCATTCAGCACGCCGGGCACCCCTGCGGCAGGCCAACAGGGTGCGGCGGATGGCCCCAAGAGGCCTCCAAGGCGGCCCAATATGCACCCAAGACGTTCCAAGCTAGCATCAAGGTGGCCCAAGACCGCCCAAGAGGCTCCCAAGAGGCCTCCAAGATGGCCCAAGAGGCCTCCAAGAGGTCCTCCAGGAAGGCCCGAAGATGTGAACATCATGGATTTCGTTGCGTTTGTGAAGGATTTTGGCATTTGCGCTCCTTCGGCTTTCCGACGGGCCAAGTGGCCCCCAAGGTCACCCCAAGATCGCCCAAGAGGCATCCTGGAGGACCTCTTGGAGGCCTTTTGGGCCGTCCTTGGCCATCTTGAGACCATCTTGGGCCGTTTGGGGTTTATCTTGGGCCGTCTTGGAAACATGTGCAAACCATCTTGGGTTCTCGTGGGGCCATCGGGGCTATCTTGGAAACCATCTTGGCCGTCTTGGAGGCCATCTTGGAGCCGTCTGGCGCGGGAAGACCGACGACCTGGAGAGTTTACGGGTCCTTCTTCCGTGCCGGCGGGACGGGCCGAAGCCCCAGGGGGAGTTCTACAAGAACCCAAACCGAAAGGATCTAGCACGCTGGGCAAGCCTGTGGCAAGCCAACAGGGGGCGGCGGATCGAAGACGTCTACGGCGAATCACCGCCGCCACCTGCCTTTTCTGAAGCGCCTATGTGGCCGAACGTTGAGGCCAGACCTGCCAAGCTATCGGACCATGTGCTCCCCGAATCGGTTTGGAAAGCCTTCCGGGAACACGTGGGCATCTTGAAGGTCATCTTGGCCGCCTAGAGGCCATTTTGACCCTTTCGGGGGCCTTCTTGGAGGACGTCTTGGAGGGCTCTTGGGCCGTCTCGGAGGCCATCTTGAGGGTCTTGGAGACCTCTTGGGCCGTCTTGGGGGCCACTTGGGGCCGTGTCTTGCGCCGTCTTGGGCGATCTTTGGGGGCACTTGGGCCGTCTCGGGCCGTCGGAAGGCAGAAAGAAAACACATGCCACAATCCTTCAAAAACTCATGGGAAATCGCTGATTTTGGCATTTTCTGGCCTTCCTGGAGGCCCTCTTGGAGGCCTCTTGGGCCGTCTTGGGCTATCTTAGGGCCATGTTCGGCCGTCTTGGTGGGCTCCTGGTCCGTCCGACGCCGTTGGAAGCCGTTTTGGGGGCCTCTATGGGCCGACTTGGGGCCCTCTTGGAATGCTCCAGGGCCGTCTTGGAAGCCCATCTTGGGCGTCTTAAAGGCCTCCTGTGCCGTCTTGGGCGCCGTCTTGGGGCCGTCTTGGGGCCCTCTTGGGCCGTTCTGGGGCCAGCTTTGAGGCCTCTTGGGCGATCTTTCGGCGATCTTCGGGGGCTCTTGGGCCGTCTGGGGCCGTCGGAAGGCCGAAAAGAAGCAAATGTCAAACTCCGTCAAAAACCTACGGAACATCAATGTTTTGGGCCTCTTCTGGCCTTCCTGGATGCCCTCTTGGGGGCCTCTTGGGCCGTCTTGGGCCAGCTTCGAGCCAACTTCGGCCATCTTGGTGGGTTCCTGGCACGTCTGACGCCGTCGGGAGCCGTCTTGGGGGCCTTTCTGGGCCGACTTGGGTTGGGGCCCTCTTGAGGCGCTTCGGGGCCGTCTTGGAGGCCATCTTGGACGTGTTGGAGGCCTCTTGGGCCGTCTTGGAGCCCTCTTGGGGCCGTCTTGGAGGCCTTGGGCCGTCATGGGGCCCTTTTGGGGGCCTCTTGGGCGATCTTGGGGGCCTCTTGGGCCGTCTTGGGCCGTCGGAAAGCCGAAAAGGCGCAAATGCTACAATCCTTCAAAGACCTAAGGAAAATCAATGATTTTTGCCCTTTCGGGCCTTCTGGAGGGCGTCTTGGAGGGCTCTTGGGCCGTCTTGGAGGCCTCTTGCGGGCCTGTTGGGCCGTCGTAGACCATCTTGAGGCCATCTTGGGCCGTCTTGGAGGCATCTTGGGGCCATCTTAGCCGTCTTGGAGACCATTTTGGTCCGTCTTGGAGACGTCTTGGAGACCATCCTGGGCCATCTTTGCCTTCTTGGACGCCATCTTGGGCCAACAGGAGGAAACAGAGGCACGACGGATGCGTTTTGAGCGCCTTTCCGGGTGGCTGGCGGGGCGCGCCGGAGCCCCAGGGGGAGTTCTTTTGGAAAAAGAACCAGAACCAAAACCGAGAGGGTTCAACACGCAAGGCACCCCTTTGATAAATCAAAGGGGGGCGGCGGATGGAAGACGCCTACGGCAAATCACCGCCGCCCCCTGCCTTTTTGGAAGCGCCTATGTGGCCGAACGTTGAGGCCAGACCTGCCAAGCTATCGGACCATGTGTTCCCCGAATCGGTTTGGAAAGCCTTCCAGGAACACGTGGGCATCTTGAAGGTCATCTTGGCCGCCTAGAGGCCATTTTGACTCTTTCGGGGGCCTTCTTGGAGGACGTCTTGGAGGGCTCTTGGGCTGTCTTGGAGGCCATGTTGAGCGCTTTGGAGGCCTCTTGGGCCGTCTTGGGGGCCTCTTGGGGCTGTCTTGGGCGATCTTTGGGGGCACTTGGGCCGTCTCGGGCCGTCGGAAGGCAGAAAACAAGCAACTGCCACAATCCTTCAAAAAACCCATGGGAAATCACTGATTTTGGCCTTTTCGGGCCTTCCTGGAGGCCCTCTTGGAGGCCTCTTGGGCTGTCTTGGGCTATCTTAAGGCCATGTTCGGCCGTCTTGGTGGGCTCCTGGTCCGTCCGACGCCGTCGGAAGCCGTTTGGGGGGCCTCTATGGGCCGACTTGGGGCCCTCTTGGACTGCTCCATGACCGTCTTTGAGGCCCACCTTGGGCGTCTTTTGGCCTCCTGTGCCGTCTTGGGGGCCTCTTGGGGCCGTCTTGGGGCCCTCCTGGGCCGTTCTGGGGCCATCTTGGAGGCCTCTTGGGCGATCTTTCGGCGATCTTCGGGGGCTCTTGGGCCGTCTCGGGCCGTCGGAAGGCCGAAAAGAAGCAAATGTCAAACTCCGTCAAAAACCTACGGAACATCAATGTTTTGGGCCTCTTCTGGCCTTCCTGGAGGCCCTCTTGGAGGCCTCTTGGGCCGTCTTGGGCCAGCTTCCAGCCAACTTCGGCCATCTTGGTGGGTTCCTGGCACGTCTGACGCCGTCGGGAGCCGTCTTGGGGGCCTTTCTGGGCCGACTTGGGGCCCTCTTGGGGCGCTTCGGGGCCGTCTTGGAGGCCATCTTGGGAGTCTTGGAGGCCATCTTGGAAGTGTTGGAGGCCTCTTGGGCCGTCTTGGGGCCGTCTTGGAGGCCTCTGCCGGGCCTGGGCCGTCGTAGACCGTCTGGGGTACATCTTGGGCCGTCTTGGAGGCATCTTGGGGCCATCTTAGCCGTCTTGGAGGCCATCTTGGGCCGTCTTGGAGACGTCTTGGAGACCATCCTGGGCCATCTTGGCCGTCTTGGACGCCATCTTGGGCCAACTGGAGGAAACAGAGGCACGACGGATGCGTTTTTAGATCCTTCCTGGGACCCCGGCGGGGCGTGCCGGAGCCCCAGGGGGAGGTCTTTTAGAAAAAGAGCCAGAACCAAAACCGAGAGGGTTTAACTCGCAAGGCACCCCTTTGATAAATCAAAAGGGGGCGGCGGATGGAAGACGCCTACGGCGAATCACCGCCGCCCCCTGCCTTTTTGGAAGCGCCTATGTCTTGGGCGATCTTTCGGCGATCTTCGGGGGCTCTTGGGCCGTCTCGGGCCGTCGGAAGGCCGAAAAGAAGCAAATGTCAAACTCCGTCAAAAAACCTACGGAACATCAATGTTTTGGGCCTCTTTTGGCCTTCCTGGATGCCCTCTTGGAGGCCTCTTGGGCCGTCTTGGGCCAGCTTCCAGCCAACTTCGGCCATCTTGGTGGGTGCCTGGCACGTCTGACGCCGTCGGGAGCCGTCTTGGGGGCCTTTCTGGGCCGACTTGGGGCCCTCTTGGGGCGCTTCGGGGCCGTCTTGGAGGCCATCTTGGGCGTCTTGGAGGCCATCTTGGGCGTGTTAGAGGCCTCTTAGGCCGTCTTGGGGCCCTCTTGGGGCCGTCTTGGAGGTCACTTGGGCTGTCATGGGGCCCTTTCGGGGGCCTCTTGGGCGATCTTGGGGGCCTCTTGGGCCGTCTTGGGCCGTCAGGAAGCCGAAAAGGCGCAAATGCCGCAATCCTTCAAAAACTGAAGGAAAATCAATGATT